AAATATAATTTTACTAATTTTTCTAACTTTCTAAAAAAAAATTCGTTTTTTTACTTAGTATTTATTTCTTTTTCTAGAAGCTTCTCTAGTTTATTTATATAATTTCTTATTTCCGATTTCTTTTTAATTCTTATTTCTAATTCCTGCTTATTATTTTACTTGAAATTAAGGATATTTTCTCTTTTAGATATTTTTTCTGAACTTAGAAATAAGCTTTTTTACTAAAACTAATACTGCCTTTACTTTAGTCTTTATTATAACTAAAAATAATATATAAATTAATAATATAATTCTATTTCCGAGTACTAAAGTCTAATTCTAACTAAGGTCTAACTTATATTATCTTAGTATAATTTTTCTTATTCTATTTCCTTTACTTCTTTTCTTTCTATAGTTAGCCTCTATTTCTACTACTTCTATATACTATACTAGTAACTATATCTTGTAGCTAACCTGTATTCAAGTCGCTAGATATATCGGAAATTAATATAAGATACTAAAATTAATACTTGTATATCCTTAATATTTTGGCCTTAGATATAAGGTATTATAATAGCCCTTTTCTCTCCTAACTTACTAAGCTAATAATTCGCCTTATAGATATCCCTCAGAACTTTATAAAAGTATTACCTTAATTATAAAGTTTCTATCCTTCCTGTATTACTTACTATAAAATATATAAGAGGGAAACTATAATAAGATAAAAACCTATATAAAGTATACCAGAGTATAAAACGTAACTTAATAGCAAAATAATAAATCAAAAGTATAAATAGTAAAGCATAAATAGTATATAGTATGCAAAAGCTTAATTAATTAAATACTCATAAAGAATTATTCTCTAAGTCTATAGAAAAACCAGCTTTCTTATGTGATTTCCGCAAGTCACGTGCAAAAGGCCGCAGCCTTTGCCATGTGACCTAAACCTCAAAACCGCCAAAACAACATGATTTTTGACGAGTACGGCCTGCCGTACTATACTAGTAATATGGCTCTATTAACTATTATAAAGATAGGCCGTAACTATATTAATGTAATATATACCTGGCCCCAGGATAGTAGAGCTATTAATACTAGAGCCTTTATATTATAAAGGAGTAAGCCGTTGAGTAGTAATAAGAATAGATTAAGTAATAGTAATCCCGATCTCGGTAGTAATAGTAATGGGTGCTCGAGCGAGAACAAGCTCGGCCATTCAGGTATAAGGACGAATGCCCTGTAGGATCCTATAGACGAGCGGCGCTTGCTAGTATATAAGAAGGAGGGCAAGTCTTGGAAGTATATCTTCCGCAAGTTTCTAGGCAGGACTTAGCCTATAGTACGTATATGTTTGAATATTATATAGGCTAGAGGCGAGTAGGCTTTCTCGCACAGGTAGACAGGCGCTAGCTCAAGCTATATGTGCCTACTTGTTTCTGGTATTTGCCGGGACGAATATCTAGAAAGAACTTTATCTTTCTGTCGGCCAGTCCCAATACTAGAGCAGTTATAGTCGAGGGAAGCGGCGTTTAAGGCGAGTAGGATAGTGAAATAGTATAAAAGAAAATGGAGAGGTTGATATCGGAAGGAGACATAAGGCGTAACGTCTTTACTAGAAATAATTAATGTATTATATATGTTTATTAATGTCCTAGTATTATTGTCTCATATAGTTTCCTGATTCCCTTATAGCCACAAAATAAACTCTCGCCTATATAATTGCCTGTTCCTCCTTCCACAGACGGTCTATTACTCTACTAAATATATCTATTATCCCATTATATATTATATTATAGTCTCGGAATATACCAGTAAAGATTACGCTATCTTTAATCGGGAAGAGGATGCTTCGGAGCTCTCGAGCCAGTTATTTGAGTTCCTTGAACTTTGGTGCAAATTCCGTAAAAATATCCTCAAATCCATTTTTATTTATGTGGCCACGCTTCGTATTAGCGATTTCTGCGTATGTCCCAGTATACTAATCCCGTAGTCTACTTGTCTTAATTGGTCTCACCTTTCTCTTATCTGACTTTGAGCTTAGTGCGTCTGTTTCCTCCACGCCGGCTACCTCTTCGTAACTATAGCGGATATATATTCATATAAAGACGTAGAAAAGTAACTTCAGATCGTGCCGGTATGTGTGGCCTTTGCCCTGAAGTACCTCGATTAACATAAACTGCATAGTGCCTGTCTAGTGACTCGCTCTACTAGGAATACTATTTAACTTCTTTCCTAAATCCATATTAATCAGATATCCTTTTAACTTCCTTCTAGTAATAGGCTTCGTAATAATAATATTATTCTCAGAAATATCTTAATAAAGTATTTTCTCATCTTTTAGTAAAGACTTATTACCTATAATAGTATCTCAAGGCGCCTCTAAAAGCTCTATAACCGATTAGTAGGAGTAAAGTGGCCGTCCAGCTAGCGATATTACTAAGTAGTAGTGTATTCGGTTACCGTACGTCTCACTTTTATAGCCTGCCAGACTATCGGCCTCGGTTTCTTGAATACTGTGGACATTAGTAGTATCTGAGTCGCGGTTTCCGGTTCGGCCGTCCCCTGATCTGGATCGCTTCATTCCACTACTCCCCTTAGCAAATCCCTCTTCTCTTTTCCTTTTCTGGCCAGAAGACATTGACGTACTGCTGGTACTGATTCCTAGTCCCGTTAATCGAGCACTACTGCTTCTTGATCTTCCTGTGAGGCTTCTTGTTCTCGAGTATACTTGGCTAGACTCCGTACTGCCATTGACCCAAGAAGATTTGCCCGAGAGCTTCCGTGGGGCGCCAAACTTCAAGCCTGCCCGTAAATGTGCAATAGTATCTGCGCTTCCATTAATAGTAATCTGCTTATGATAGAACTATTCAGTAATGCCTTTGATTCCTCTGTCCTTGGCCAACTTTAATAAGTCTCCCTCTCATTGCCTTTTATTAGATAGCCAAGCGAACTTCACCACGTACTCCCAGTTCGCTGAGCCGGGTCTCCTTCCTCGATAGCACGTTGTTCCCCGGTACACTATTGCCTTTATCGAAGCAATTAGCTAGTCCTCCAAAGAGATCCTCAAATCCCGTGCGACGATATACTTGCCGGTCTCATTACGCTTAATGAACGTATTTAACCCTAACTCCGCGTCCGTTATTAGCGCATACCCAATAATAACCCTAATAAACTGCTCTGGCTCTTTGTGAATATTGAATTTCTCGGAGCTATAAGGGCCAGATCTGTCGAATACCCAAAGCCGTATTAGGCTTTTGCAGATCATAAATCCAGGTACGAATCGCCGCTCCGGTTAACTTCCAAATACTTCACGTATATATCCTGCCAATTATACTAGTGTTTTTACAGATTAATCCTTATTAGGATTCTGTTTATATTCTCTAATAACAAGTATATTAGACTAGTCGTACTCGCCGTCCGGTAAGGCAGTATTAGCGGGGGTAAGGAAAATATCAAGCTTGCGATTAGCCTCCGAGCCCCTTAATACTTTATTCGCTAATATGTAGTATCTGCGGCAAAGTCTACTAAAGAAAGTATCCTGGAACTTCATGAACTACTTAAAGAATAGACCTTAAAGTAAAGGCTCTGGCTACCCGCTCTAGTAACCCTCTATATACTAAGCTCTCGACTCTTTATAAATATCCCTTGCATTATTCGTCTAGGGCTTCCCTTTAAAGTATTACTCGGAGAAGCTACTAATATTATAATAGACTTGCCCGGTAAGTTCTTCGAGTATTTACTAATTAACTTTATTATGTGTCTATTTAATACCCCTCTAAGAAGCCGAGCTAGATTATAGTGGCGTATTAAAGACGGCTTTCTCGAAGGCAGTTAGTAGGGTTAATTATTTCGGGCTAGTAAGTGTGATTAGGTCAAATATAGTATATTATATCTTTATATTAGGGGAATTATTAGTAACTAGTTCCACTAAAGGAATTATTAACTTAATATTGAAATTACTAGAGCCAACTTTAGATCCAAGGCTAAATAGATCCGTATAAAGGCGAGTTTTGCGATTAATCCGCGAATATAGGATACGAGCGGCCGGAAAGGTCTATAAGGCTCTAATAAGATCAAGAACCAGATCTTCTATATACGTTAGGAAGATAATTAGTTAGTAAATAGTAATACTAACCTGAGGCAGATTCTGTAGAAAGAATATCCTTAATAGCACAAGAAGATCTAATAAAACCTAGACACGCTTGAGATAATTCAAACTAGTAATAAAAAGTAACTAATTCTTCTTTAATTACTTCTTTATATTATTATACGTTTGGACTACCCTTAAGCAGTTGGCTTCTGGGGCTTCCTGAAAAATACGGGTCACGTGAGGAATACCAGAATCTCTCTCTTCTAGGGAATCGCACATTGGAATACGATTATGTCCAAATTCTTAGGGTTTAGCTTAGGATAAGAGAGAAGAAGCTCAAGTACCTTTCTCTTTATTTTAGTAGTTCTGAAATATAAGGGGCTTTTATTATAATTTTTTAAAGCTCAGGAAAAGAGAAAGGGAATTCTTAAGGCTTTAGCTAGCTCTCGGGGCTTCCTAAAAAATACAGGTCACGTGAGGAATACCAAAAAAAAACCTGGCCTTACTTTACTCTTCTCTTCTTCTTCTCTTTACTACTCTCCCTTTTATTTATATTATAGACCCTTCCTGCTTTTATATTATCTATAAGCAAAATTAGCCTGCTTCTAACTTTATTATAGAACGGGCTAAGATATATAAGAGCTATAATTACTATCGAGTTTATATTTCCCCCCTTTTCCTAGCTTAACTAACTAGTTAATAGGCCCGGTTAGCTACTAATTATGCCTAGCAGTGCCCTGCCTTATAAGAACTTAATCCGAATACTCTCCCTATCTCTCGGTAATAATAATAGTTAATTACGGATATCTCTACGGACGAGCTAGCCCTATAGCACTAGTAACGGATCCGTTAACCGTCCGTTGCGGCCCTAGTTTATATTATAGAGGACTCTCCTACTAACTCACCTACTATATAGCCTCCTGCCTTTCTTTCCCGCTTCCGGCCAGCTCCTATATATATGACTAGTCCGCTTACGGGTTATTATATAGCTTGCGGAGCCCTTTATTTTAGCTATATGGATAATTACTTTAAGGCTTATTATAAGAAGGGTAATATAATACTTCCTCTAATCCGCAAGCCTTCTCTATATCTCTCTTATCTCTTTACGGGTAATAACTCGCTTTACCGGGCTTTTCGGACAAATATCCGGGTATATAATTATACTTTTGCCTTTATATTAATTAGCTATAAGAAAGATACCCGGATTAATTTCTCTTATAGGATCTAGTACTTTTAGATCTATAGCAAGCTTTTCTATTTCTAAGGCCTGCTATAGCCCGCTTTATATACCGAACTCTCCTTTATATAGCTCTTCTTTTATAATTCGCTCTTTATAACTAATATATGGGCTACTAACTTCCCTTACTTAGATTATATAGTTCTTTTATAGCTTACGGATATGCTTATAAATTATAATCCGTTTATTATAGTCTATAAGATAGCCTATAAGTGTCTTATAAGCTAATAAACCGATTTCCGGATCTTACTTAATCCGCAAATATACTTAATTCTTGAATTAGATACGAATTATTATTATAAGAATCTTCCTATAAGTAATAAGGTTATAGCTCTTATTCCGGACAAGTATATGGATATAAGCCGCCGCAATCTGATACTTATAGTCTGTAAGGCAGGCCGCAAGCGTCTGTAAATACATATAATTAATATTATATATATAGTATATATACTACTTTACTATATCTTGCTCTTTTTATATAGTAACCCGGGCTAGTACTATGATTTATAGTTATAGGACCATAATAGGACCCGTTAGTAAATATGACTAAAATAGCGGGTTTTTTACCGGTACTACCTCTATAGTTATTTGGCCTTTTCCCTACTCTTTTATACTAGCTATCTCTTTTAGTAATATATTATTAATACGTATATTACCTATAAGACTACCTCATTTAACTAGCTCCGCTTATACTAGTAGAATATTCGTATAGATATATATATAGGACTTGCAAATACTCTAATTCATAAGAATATCCGTATAAGTAATATTAGCTATTATTTTATTTTCCTATTAAGCTTTATAGGTAGTAATTACTTTATATAATAGCTCTTTTAAGACTTAATAGCTATTATATAATATTTTGGTAAGCTAAGCTTCTTTATTACTTTTATAACTAACCCGTACTAGCCTGAGATTATAGATTATTTCTTAAACGGGTAATAAGCTATTAATTATCCGGATCTCCTTTACCGGGTCTTTATATTAAAGGTAAGAGAGCTATTTATAGACCTAAAAAATTACCTTTTTGGACTATATATAGGCTATATATATATAATTAAGTACTAGAAGTATAGCCTCCTATATATATATCTACTCTTATTTCTTAGGAAAGAAGCTATTTTCTTAATTCCCGATTTAGTTAATAAAGTTATTTATACTAAGCTTCTAGACCCGTTATGGGATCCTATAGGCAAACTTATAATTATAGTAACTAGTCAGATATTTTATAGACTATATGGCCTCGAAAATAATCCAAAAGCCCTATATATAGTTCATAAGATACCTATAGCCCTGCTTATATACCAGAAGAGGTTCCCTAAGGTATTTGCGGCTATAATAATTATTTATAAGAATAGGTATCCCGAGTACTAGTACCGGGATAATAGCCATATATTTATAGTCTATAAACCAGGCTTTCCAGGCCAGGAAGTTATCTGTAATAATTACTAGATTATTTTATATAACCTGTATCTTCTCTAGAAGTTCCGCTCCTATATTAATATCGAGGTTTATACTTCTATATAAGTAATTAAGTATATTTATAAATATGTCTATAAAGGAATAAATTATATAATTATTATAGTTTCAGGAATAAATAATAAGATTACCTAATATTTTTAAGCTCGGTATATAGGCCCTATAGAGGCTTTCTGGCGCCTGTTCGAGTACCTAACGTATTAGGAGTTTCCCCTAATCTAGTACTTAGTAATCTATTTCTCTGGGTAATATATAATCTACTTTATAAATAATCTCTTACCCGAGTAAATAGCAAACCGGGCCGCAAATACCCGTTTAACCTTAATAGCTTTCTTTAAGTATAATATAATATATAAGGACAGCTATTAGTACTTCTACTATAAGTTCCTATAGTACTTTATATGAGTTATCAAGACCCGGATATAGAAGCCCTATAAGCGAGAGTATAGTATTAGCTATATTTATTACTATAGCCCGGTTTCGGGTAAGTAATTCTATTTATAGCTCTTACTAATAATTATATACGGTCTGTAGTCTTTTAATAAGCTCTATTTAGTTAAGGGCGTCCGTTATCCCACATACTATACTGCCTATATTACCTGCGGTTTAGTAGAAAATAATTAGAAGTAGTTCTAGTACTTTAACGAGGCTATTTTATTAATAACCGGCTATGGTTTACGGATACTCTTTCTTATAAGTATCTGCTAGTAGCTAATTATGAATATGCGAGTAATCTGGAACTAGTATAAGAAGTATTTCTGTAATAACTTGGCCCGTAAGCTAGCCCATAACTTATTAATTAATTTCTTATTACTTTTAGTTAATCCTTACTATAATTATGGCCTCTTTTTACTTAATCTCGGCCTTACAGATCTCTAGTAAATGCTTATAAATATTACTCTATCTGAGAATACCTTTAATTAGACTATAAGCTACTATATAGCTAATTTACGGGTTAATTATACTTATGAGATATTACTAGTAACTATAATACAAGCCTAGCTAAATATAAACTAGTACTTCTACTTTTAGATAATTATAATAGTAATTACAAATAATTTATAGACTATCCACTTTTACTTATAAGGCCCTAGTAGAACTAGTAAAACGTTTCTTTATAAGACCCTCTGCTACTATTACTATAGCCAAGGTAAGGTAGTCCTATATATAATATTAATGGGTATTGCAGCTTTCCTTTTCCCGGACAAATACATGTTTTACTTCTAGTTCCGGATCCTGCTAGTTCCGGATCCTGCTCAAGCTTAATAAGTCGTCTATAAGTATAATTACTAAGACTAGCCGGCTTAGGGCTCTCTTATATTCTATAAACCTAATTATCTGAAACGAGGTACCTATATAGTATAAGTACTACTTTGAAGTAATATACTGGCTAATAGTCGATTTATGGTCGGTTATAGATAATGTTTTCTTTAGAGGAATGCCTATAATTCTCGGGGAGAACTTTGCCTAGATTTTACTAGTAGTCCCATATAGTTTATAGGCCAATATAGTACGGGCCTGCTTATAGCGGATATAGATCTAGCTATAGCTCTATTAGTTATTATTACGGATTAATATACGGGTCTATAATAATCCGTCCGAATAGGATTTTATAGACTGGATTAGTAATCTGCTATATAACCCGTCTTTAAATAGGTAGATTATACTCCTGCCTTTTATTCCGTATACCTAGTTAGTTACAGACCTAATTAATTACATTTACCTGTAAGAGCAACTTTTATAGGCCCTATATAATTACTAGGCCTTTAGTAGATAAGTAATCCTATTAACCCTAAATAATATAGTTTGCAAGCTTAACTAAATAATTCTAGATATGTTTCCTGGCTAGAAATAGACGTATTTTATAGTAGATTTGGCTAATATAAATAAGGCAGATCCTGAAATTACAGAATTACCTCTAGAGGTTTTATAAAGTATCTATTTACCGGATCTATCCCTTTCTAAGCTATAACTCAAGATTAGTATACCCGTAATACTCTTATAGAATCTCTATTTATAGAAAGGGCTTTATAACGGGTTACGGATATTAATATATAGCTTTGGGAGATTCTTGATTTGGGTATGGCTATTAGGTAGTAACTTTAATAGCCAGTTACAGATAATTTCACGGATTAAGCTCTAGTCTACGAATTAATAACTATCTTTTATACTTTCCCGTAAGTAGTTTCTATTTATTTTATTCTTTATAATAACTATTAATAAGTTATAAGACTAGTTATTTAAGGTAGTAGAAGTAGATTTATAATTACCGGTCTTTTCTTATGGCCAGTTTTATATAGCAGCCTTACGGGTAATCTTATAGGTAAGGCTTTATATTCTTTTACTCTCTAATATAAATTATATAAGTAATATAGTATATCTAGAAATATTATAAAGTCTTACTTAGCTTTTAACTTACTTATAGGTAACTTTATATACTTACGGGCTATTTTCCTTCTTATACTATCTGTAAAGGGTCTATAAAGAGTCTGTATCTAATTTATATATTTAGTTAAAAGCCTTTATTATATTCCAAACCTATTCGGGATAAATTTAGGGCAAAATTATTACTAGCTCCGGAGCTTATATAGGGCTGCTAGTAATAATTTTAGTAGAGCGGCCCTAAACTCGTCTATATAATACTGAGTTATAATCTATAAAAAATATTTCCTATTATATAGAGGCCTATACGGGAATACCAAATATGTTTTATCTCCTTACTCTTTCCCTTCTTATACTTTATGCTTTATTTTGGTTTATAATATCTTAATTAAATTAACCTAAATTAAATTAATTATATTACCCTAGATATTACTACTCTCGGTTAATCTTCTAGTTCCCCCTAAAGAATGGCTAGCAAACCGTAATATATGCTTTATATCTTGAGCGGCAGGCCCTATACTATATAGTAATTTAGGGACAAGAGAGAGAGGGAGATAAGAAGGGAGAGAGAGAGGGGGGGGGGGAGCAGGCTATAGGTAAGTTAACGGACCTGTTTACAGATAGATACGGGCAAACTAACTCTCCTAGGGCCGCAAACCCGTTACTCGAGCTATTTACAGGTCTGCAATCTCGGCCGCTTTCTTACCTGTAAGCCCTGTTATTGCCGGAATTTAAAGGCAAAGCATTATCGAGCCCTAACTAGAACTCGCGCTTAGTACCCGAATCCTCCTCCGACCCATACCCAGCTCGCAAATCATATCTAGCTCCGGTAGCAGGCTACCGGGAAGAAGAAGAGGGGATAGGCAGGGTACCGGGCGATTATGGTCGACGATTATATGCGGGAGCCGACCCAAGAGGAGGAGTAGGAGCTTTAGGACCGGTAGTAGCGGCGTAAGGATGGAAAGGCAAAGAGGAGGGTTTGGGAGGGAGAGAGGAAGGGGTTATTGCGAGAAAATTATTTAAAAAGGGGGCAGCCTGAAGGAGAGTTTGAGGCGTGGTGGGAGGAGAGGTTAAAGGAGAGGCAGAGAGCGGATGAGTTTTTAAAAGCAAGGGATAAGGCAAGGAGGAAA